GTTTATTGTGATTTTACTTTTATTTTGTTGGTATTTAAATTTATAGTAAATATATTTAATTTGTTTTAGATTTATTTCTAGTAAGATATAAATATATATTGAATTCATGACATAAAAGTAAATACTAGACAGGAAAAAAATATACTCGAAACCGGCGGTTTAAAACCGGACCAAACCGTTAGGTTTAGGTTTGAGTGTTTTTCAAACCGGTCAAAACGGCTTGATTTAGGTTTGAGCTTTTCTCAAACCGGTCAAAACGGTTTGGTTTGAAAATTTGTCAAAAATCGCAAAAACCGGACCGCTTACACCCCTAACAAAGATTATTGAGAACGCGGATTTTGAGAAATGGTCAAGGCCAGAAACTTTAGGGGACTATTTAATTCATGAAATTATTTGTTAATAAAACTATGCCTACTACAAGGAAAAAATAATTCGTCGCCTTGTAACCATTTACGGTTAATGAATTACTGAAATCCATAGTCTTTTATTGTATTTCAAATTATAGTGTTTGTCTTAGAAATAAACTGAAATATGTATTACAAGTATAATAATGAGATCCATTGGGGTTTGAAAGCCCAACGAACCAACAAATCATGAGAACTTGAATCACTTCAATAGTAGGTCTAAGAGTGAGCTATGATCAAATTTCTCATTGAATTGAGTTATGAAACTTTATACCGTGGTTTTACAGGAAGTTGTGCACCTTTGATTTTTTTTCTTCGAATTTACTCAAGTTTGCAAAGCAGTTTTGTGAAGTCATAGACTCCTAGATTTCTCCCTAAATTCCTTAGGAGTAATTTTGACGTCGTCTAAGTCAAGTCCTGAAATTATTTCCACATTTAATGAGGTTAGATTAGGTGAAGCTCGAGTCACTATGATTTGAGATGTCTTTATACCAGTGTCGACATCATCAACATTTCTATCTACAAGATATCATCGACAAAATCGTCATCAGTAGTCATCGATATATGTGCGTTAGTGATGATCGATAATATCAATATAAAAAATTTGTCAATGATATTAACGTATTCTCTATCAAGTATCAACTATTACATTATCACATGTAACTGCCAATAGAGGTGCGTTGATGATACCAAAATCACCGTTCAATATTGATTTCCGTTAGATCAACTACAACAATAACGTCGACGATCATCCATAAAAAAATTTTGGGGACCATTTGCTCCATTTAATATTTTTCTTATTGTTTTTTCGAAGTTGCCATAAAATTTTTTGCCTAATGATTGCGGACCAAGTGCGAGTTCGTTGGTTCCACAATGAGGGGGAGGGATGGGATAGGTCGCACCAAGGATGGGGCAAAGATTCACGTGTGTGAACTGAATGAGGTTAGAAACAAATAGTGTTGAAGAAGAATGACGAATAAAGGAGATATGATAATGTTGAAAAATATATAAAATGAGGTTTCTTAAACTTTCCGATTGTATGATTTTGACTCTTAACATTGAAATCTATGAATCTAAGACCTCGCGTTACAAAAATGACAATGTGGACTATAAAATTGTATGCTACTTTCATTCAACTTAAAGTAGGGGTGTAAGCGGTCCGATTTTTACGATTTTTGACAAATTTTCAAACCAAACCGTTTTGACCAGTTTGAGAAAAGCTCAAACCTAAACCAAACCGTTTTGACCGGTTTGAAAAAAACTCAAACCTAAACCTAACGGTTTGGTCCGGTTTTAAACCGCCGGTTTCGCGTATATTTTTTTCCTGTCTAGTATCTACTTTTATGCCATTAATTCAATATATATTTATATCTTATTAGAAATAAATCTAAAACAAACTAAATATATTTACTATAAATTTAAATACCAACAAAATAAAAGTAAAATCACAAAAAACTAAAGCATAGTTTTTTATTTGCCCTTTTGACGTTTTAGAATAATACTTTACGATAAAGATACAATACAAGTCCACTAAAATAAATATAAGGTCCAAAAAAACATAATAATGTCCATTTTCAACTAGCAAAAGGAATAAACGAATTAATTTTGTCACAGAACTCAAGAAACATCAAATTTTGTCACAGAACTCACAGAACTAGCAAAAGGAAGAAACATTCACATACTCAAGAAGCCACAGAACTCATGATCAATTTTGTCCTTCATACACAAAAAAAATTTTAATTAGCAAATTGGAAAAAAAAAAGAATTAAGACACAGATCCATCTAATAATGGCTTCCAAAAGACAAGCTGCAAATATTTTTTCTCCCCCATTCCACTATATATACCCACCTTCATCTTCTGCAATTTAACACGGAATTATACATATTCTCTCATATGTAAACAAATGTCTTTTGCGCACCTGATAGCCCGAATTTCAACTTTAAGCCTTACTCACGATCAATAAATATGTAAACAAATTTCAACTAGAAAGTGACAAAATTTCAATTTTAAGCCTTACTCACGATCAAATAAATATGCAAGAACCTGAAATAGTCTAATAATACCGGCGAACGTACACTACCGGCGACTGGGAGGTTCGAGATTTCGAGGGCGTTGACGATTTGGGGGAAACCAGGAGGCGCCGCGGGGAGCGAGGCTGCGACCAGCGAGTTGCGAGTGAGAGAAATGGAAATTGGAAGATTATGGTTGTGACTTGTGAGTATATGGACTTGGGTTGAGCTGTTTAGTGCTACTTCTTTCAAATTTGGGCCTTTTTTATATATAATTAGGCTTGGGCGGGTCGTAAATCTTAATAATTAATAGGAAATTAGAAATTGATAAAAATACCTACAAAATGACAAAATTATTCAATTTTACAAAATTGAAATTTTGGATAAATTTTCCAAAAAAATCAATTTTTTATTTTTTTATTTTATATATTTTTTGCCGGTCCGGTATGGTTTCAAATCATAATTAAAATTCTCAAACCTAAACCAAACCGTTTTTGACCGGTTTGGTTTGATTCAAACCCATTTCGTTGACGGGTCCACGTGGCACCAAATCGCCGGTTTCGAAATTGTGGTTTCGGTTCGATTTTCCGGTTTGACGGTTTTTGCTTACAGTCCTAACTTAAAGTTAGAAGAAAAAATAATCAAAGATAACATAGGGGCCATGTTTCCAAATTTATCCTGATGTACATATTAACAATTTTTTCATCAGGGAGAACCAGATTTACATATTTAAATAGTTAGGAATTCAAAATCTAGCTTCATAAAATTGAAGAGCCAAAGCTCCGCTGATTGAAAGGAAGGCCAATCAGGAGAGGACCCGACGGGTCCTAGGGGTCACGTGCCCCCAACTTTTGAGATTTTTTTTTATATATAAAATCATGTTTGATATCGATTGAAATCTAAATTTTAATTTAAATCAAAGTCAGCAATTAAATTTAATAACATATTTCATGGAATTCATAGAAGTTTAACTTTGATCAAAATTTACTAAAAATTTGATTTTAATTTCCACCAAATATGAACAAAATCACAATAAATTTGATTTTTTCTCTTTTCTCTTGCTCACTTTTACTATTTTCCTCATGACTTTTAACAAAATCTTAACTCTTCTAATTTTTTAAAATTTGTATATAGTTTCTTTACAAATTATCACATTTACTAAATTTTTTCATTAATTTTCATTTTCCAATCAAATTTTTAATTAATTAGAACCTAAATTTGCATTTTCTCCTATCAAACTGTGTATATAGAATGTGTCCGAACTCATTATCCAATTTAACTTATATTTAATGAATTGTGTTTATTTGATTGATTATTAGTATTGAATATTAATTATATGTTTTTCATTTCGATTACTTGAATTGATTGTTTGTATCAAATATATTATAAGATTTTTAAACGTAAATATGTATTTTCTTATGATGAACAAAATATTAATAAAATGACTCTTCGAAATCAAATGAATGAAAAGGATTGGACTGTGGTGGGTGGGGTGGGTTCATTTTTGCAATATTATATTCACCGTTGGACCCACATTTTGTGAAATTTTTGGAAAACTTCCATGAAACAGTTTTCTGTACACATGAAATTTTCCAAAATGATTATCAAAATATTAATGAAAAAATATTTTTTCAAATGTCAATCTGAATTATCTTAACTCAAGTATGAATCATTCAAAAATCAAGAACAAAGTATTCGATTTGTATAAAGTTTGATTGTTTCCCCTAACCTAAAATGTCTGCGTTCGCCTCCGAGGCCAATCACAATCGTCTTCATCAGTTATCAAAAGTTTGTACGTCATTTTTCAAAACTTTTAAATAAAATTCCTTACTTTTAAAGCTCAACCAAACGAACTCTATTCTCGTGCAATTGCTCATGCACGTTTAGCTGTCAGCATGTGGACCGCATCAATAACTGTTTGACATAAAGGGAAATGATAAAATTGAGAAGCAAAAAATGGCCAACTTTAGGCTTTAGCATATGCTTTATGCTTTCCTCATACAACGAAACTGGTTCAGATGAACATGAAACCTGCAATTCATGTTACCCTATGGTAGCAATAAATGTCTCAGTAGGTTTGACATTGTTAGCTTTTATTATTATTATTATTATTATTATTATTATTATTTTTTTTTTAACTAATCAAACAAACTTCGTAAGACTACGTACCCATTTACTATCCACACATTTCGTAAGACTTATAAGCACTTAAAAATTTCACAAGAGAAACGTACTACTACTTGAAAGCAACTTCACAAGAAGGAAATCACAAGAAAAGAGGTGACATGTTCATACATGAATGGCAACTTCAATCTTGTGTCCACTCTTGTCACGCTATGAATCGAACTGTCAAAGATATGACAAGGAGAGCATATGAGTTAAGAAAAGAAAGACAACAACAGGGTCTACACGAGACAGAGAGAAGTGAGATCACACGGGGTGCACACAAAAGTTGGGAAACGAGAGACGATGTGGTGTCACGTACACAAGGGTCAGGGAAAGAGGGTCGAGTTGGGGGGTCGGGAGGATTACCAAATCACAACCCCAGATTGTATGAAAATTCAAGATGAAACATTTTTGCACCTTGCTGGGTGATAATTCTGCTTTGAAACATTCCTTTTGCATTTGAGTGTGCGAGTATGCATGTGAGATGGGGTGGAAAGGCAACCAAAATACAATTACAGTATCTCAATTATGCTAGGAAAAGAAAATTCTTCTTCTCCCCTTGGATAAAGCATCAAAACAGAAATATATACTAAAAAGCTTCAAATAATTTTTGAATCATGCTGGAATTTTGAATCAAGAAGATAACATCAAGACAATTTTAAAATAAAGGAATTCCAATATTAAGATAAAAACAAACTTCGAAGTTCTGAAAACTAAAAAGAGGCAGCAAAATCTTTAAAAAAACACTTACAAAAGCTAAAATAGCACTTTATGTCAACCCTTGAGAGAGGGTGATTCAAACAATAATAAATTCGACCAATCTAGTAAGATGACCTTGACAGCAGAATCATAAGACAGCAGAATGTTAGTTCTCCTTGGAAATCTACTCAGCAACCCACGACAGCACAATTGTAAACAAAGACACCGGCATGCTCCTTCACTCCAAGGACCTTCCAGTCCAATGTGCCGTTCATGACCCCTGATTTTGGATGCCAAGAATTCAACACAATAGCTTCGCCTTCGGGAGCCCTTTGACCACCAACTACAAGGAGTGCCTCGCCACAGGCCTTGAAAGCAAGTCCCCAACCATTAGAGGAATCGGCCCTGACAGGAAGTCGTCCGAGTGCATCCCACAAGTTCTTCTCTTTGTCATACTTCTTTACCATGTTTGTTAAATATTCAACAGCATAAAGTTGGTTGTCAACAACCGCAACAAGTGGAGGTGCCTGAGCAGCTCTATTGACGTTAGGATACATGCCCTCAATTTTCCTCCACTTTCTTGTTTTAAGATCAAGCTCTTCCCCACAAGTTAAAGAATCAGTATGACTAGTCATCCCACCTATCACATAGAATTTTCTGTCCATGAAAAACCCAGAGCACAATCTACGGGGAGTATGCATGCTTGGTAACATTTCCCATTTACCCGTCAAAGAATCATAAAGCTCTACAGATTTCAAGACATTCCCATTCTTGTCACTCCCCCCAGCTACAACAGCAATTGAGCCAAGAGTACCAGACGCAAATAGGCAACGAGGATGATTCATCCCTTCACACTTCACCCAATCATGACCAGTCGAACTATACTTCCAAATGGCAAAATCAAACAACTCACGCCCAAACACCAGAAGCTCATTTCCCACTGCTAAAGACTCCTTATCAGCATAATTAAAACACTCATCACACGGGATCTTCGGTAATCTCATCCACTTCTGCCTAAAGGGGTCAAATGCATCCCATCCCCTAGGATCACAAACCATATACACCCAATGCTCCATAATCCCAAGCTGCCTTCTCAACTCATACAAATAACCGCTTTTAATTAGTGAATTAAACCTCGCGTTTAAGCATGGCAATGAAGCATAATCCGATCTACGAGCCCAAGCAAGACACATTAAGGCAATGTCATCGTGCAAACCAGGAAGAAAAGATTCACTTGATCCAAAAATACTATGACGATCATCAGCTTCCCTCCTTGAACCCATTTCCATTTCCTCAACCAAAAAATTGAAAGATGTTTTATTTGCATTATGAGAGGAACTTGCCAACCTTTTCGACTTTTGGTTGTTGCAATCCATTTTACCAGTTATCATACCCTACTTGAAACAAATGAAGAGATCAATCAAATCCCAGAAGGAAAAACCTCTAAGAATACAATTTTGCTGAATTGTTTTCTTTTGGGTTTCCTTTTTTTCAACTTTACGCCCCAATTATCAGAATAACCTTTCCCAGTATCCAGAAGACAATTTTCGATCTTTGAAGAATACTTTTTTCCATCTATTAATTCTAGCCATTAATATATCAATCCAGACATTATTTTCCCATATAAAAAATATTCACCCTCTACCATCAAACTAACATCTTTATATAAACTCTGTAAATTAATTATACCCATATCACCCCCAAAAGGCAAAACAAATAAAATATTCCCACAAAATTTCAATTCTTCTTCATCTAAAGCAAGATCCTATTTTTTTTTCCCAACTTAGTTCTCATTTTTCACAAGAAACACAGTGATGTGATACTACGCGCAACAAATGTAACCGCTAGCAGATAAATGTTTCAGAAAGAAATCCATCGATTAGGATCCAAACTGGGCTTGAAATTTAATAGGATGTTACCGAACAGTCGACGTCATCCTGGCCGGCCATAGGACACGGTTTCCGGAAATATGCATCCGACGTAATAAAATCGAAGTTTGATCGTATATTACCTGCTGCCAATCATTGGTCGCCGGCGGGTATCACCGGAGCTGGTGATGTGTGTGTTAACGAGAGAGAGGGAAAGAGGAGAGAGACAACTGATAGTGAGAGAAATGGGCCCAAGTTTTGTGAGAGGAGAAGAAATTAATTTGCATATGCCCTTTAAATTGATACTTATTTGGGATTTACCTGGTCAAAATGTATTTATCTTTATTAATACTTTTATTTTCTTATAAATGATTTATCTTTTCTTTTTAATGCTTTTTTTTCTTAGATATGCGTACCTGAGGAATAAAATCAACATTTTAATTTAAATCAAAGTTAATATTTAATTTTATTCGTATATTTATGTGATTTACAACTTTTCAATCATACATTTTATCAATTTTTATCAAAATTTATTAAAAAAATTAACTTTAATTCACATCAATCACAATCTATATTCGCTTTGACAACCAATTTAGAAATAATTTATAAATTCAGTCAAACGGAACCTTAGATTTTTATTTATATCCAAATTGTCAATAATCCCTAATTTAGATACAGAATAATTGGAAGTCGTCATTATTTAGTTTTAAATTTTATTTTCATCATTCATGTTATTTAATAGTTCAACCTGAGTCTTTACATAGCAATTTCATGTATCGCCAGTGCAAATTTATGATTATGAGGTTTATTTTATAATTTTGTTTAGCAGTCGATATAAAATGTCTATGATAGACCAGATTTTGATCGTTGCCAATTAATAAGGTTCTAAGAGGTATAAATCGTGATAAAATATAGTAAGTCTAGATTCGAGCCTTTTTTTTAAAGGAGGGCGGTACCTACGAGATTTTATTAATAGATCATCACTTGTGACAGACGAGTACCGTGATTACATGAGGAAATAACGAAAGCAGTAAATGAGAAAGTACTTTTCTTACAATGAAAATAAACAATAATGGACAAAAATAAGAATAAAGAAACAAAAAAATCATATTCTAATGCTGGACAGTCCATGCCCATCAATCTATACGAGTACCTTAACATGTCGTGGTAGGTAAGCTGCTCCACATATCTGATATCGTCGATGATCCCAACCTTCTACAGCAAAAGTATCTGCAATATGATTCCCCTCTCTGTAAATGTGGGAAATTGTGTCGATGTCGAATGATATGATGTCTATGATCTGTCTAAGGATGCTCTGAATAACCCATGGTCAACCTCCTCTAGTGATGTAGTGAGTAGCCACTACAGAATCGACTCAATTCAAATGTCCTTCCTCTAGCTAGTAAAATCTCATCTAGAATGGACTTGAGCTCCGTCTCTAATATCATACACGATCCATACGAAGTCGAGAAAGCCCTAATACATTGACATGCGTGAACTCTGATGATGCATCTCCCGCTCGCAAAATCATCATTGACGCATCCATCAATATTGATCTTGACAGATCTGACTGATGGAGTATGCCACCAAACCAGAATAGGGGGAGATGAGGAAGTCCAAAGCAATACCAAAGATAGGTGCAAGTGTCAATTCCCCTCGTCAAGATTCAAGTCTTACGAAACTAAATGTGGTTTAAACAAGCCTAGATGTAATAAGACATTTTTTCCTATTTTACTTATTATTTTTATTTAGATAGAAATATAATTAAAAATGACACATACTTTAAAATTTTTTAAGAACTTTACCTAATTTTCAAGCTTCTAACCAAAAGATAATTCTTCAAATCATAAATACTTCTAATCATTAATGCCTTGTTGTAGGCAGATAAAACTATGTTATCGGGCTAGAGTGAGTTTTTTTTAAATATTATAAAATTCAATTAATTATATAACCAAAACACCCAAATCCTAATATTCATCTTCTTCCTTATTTTCAATAATCTCTCTACTCTACCCTACCTTCCCTTCTCTCTACTTCATCGTCGCCACCCGACACGAAGATGTCAGAGTAGCGCTGCTCAAGATCGCGCACCTTCGTCAATAGCGATATGTTCGTCTATCACCCTCACCCTAGAGATCTGCTTGTGTAGCCGTTGTGACAGATTCGTCCCTTTAGTGATTTGCGAAGCACTACATGGTGGTGGCAGTGCAATGAGGTTGGTGGCCATGGTGGTGTGTTACGTTGTGAAACTTTGTTGGTGGTGGTGACAATGCATCTTTATAAGGTTAGGACGTGTTGATGGTGGTGTGCGTTCGGGTGCTAGGTGCCCGCCTATCACCCGCACCCCAGCGATTTGCATGCGCAACCACTGCGACGTCTTCATCCCTGCAGTGATCTACGAAGCACCGCATGGTGGTGGCCGTACAATGGTGTTGGTGGCGTTGGTGATGTGTTGCATTGTGGGGCTTTGTTGGTGGTGGCGGTGGTGCGTTTGTATAGGATTGGGGCTGTGTTGATCATGGTGCAATGTTTTGTGATCGATAATTTTAGATCTAATTTTTTGGTGGTAGTTTCTGATAACGTTGGCGTTGGTGCTCGTAAGTTGGTAGTGGTGGTCGGAGGTGATGGTTAGATGCTGGTAGCGATAGGTCTGTCGAGGTGGTGTAGATCTAGTTCGACGATGTGGTGGTGTTTTTTGCGATGTATTGATTTGTTTGAGATTGTGTTGCGTCGAGAGGTGGTGGTGGTGGTGGTGGTTTTGACGGCAACGGTGGTGGTGATGCTGTTGGAGGGAGTGGTGAGGTGGCGGTCACAAGTGTTGGTTGTGGTCACAAATTATTTGGTTAATTGTGACCATTAAATTAGTTAATTTGTGACCAATAAACAATATGTGAACAATGAAAAAGATAAATTGTGATCAAGAAATCACGTGTGACCTAAAAAATGTTAATTTGTGACGGATAATTTGAAATAAACACTTACAGACTATTCAACACTGAATATTATGAACACTAAACACTAGCTATTTATTTAACACTGCATATTTAAAAACTAAACACTAGCTACTTGTTTAACACTGGATATTTAAAAAACTTAAAACTGGCATTCTATTAATGTGACATAAAAATTTCTGATTGAAAATTTGTGACTGTTTGATAAGTTGTGACTTATAATGTTTTGATTTGTGATCGATAAATAAATTGTGATATAGCTTTTTGATTTGTGATCGATGAACAAATTGTTACTTATAAAATTTTTGAATTGTGTAAGTAAAAAAATTTGCGACATATAAAATTTCTGATTTGTGATCGAAAAATAATATGTGACTATTAAATCATTAATTTGTGACTGAATTGTGTAAATTTGTGATCCTGATATATTTAATTAATTAAATCATAAATAAATTTTAATTAGTATCTGAATTTTGAATTTTGAAATATTTGTTCTTAATTTTAAAACAAAAAAGCTATTGTACAATCATTAGTGGTTGACAACACTTACAACACACTTTTTGGATACTTAACATTTTATTTATGAAATTCTTCCCTTTTTTTGGACTCATTTTCTTTTAAAACTTTAGTGATTCAACATTTTATTAGGCCGAGTTCAAAAATAAGACGATACTAATTGTCAAACAAAAAGTTGTCCTGCCCTAGGCATGCCCTTTAAAACACTACCAACTAGCATCAACGTCTATTGCAATTTTAGAGAAAATTGTAACAACAATCCTAACATTTGCAATGAGTGAGAATTGACTTTAATCTTCAAATTTTAAGAACATCTTCAAAAAAACATTTTTAAACATAATATTCTCTCTATTTTAAGAAGTCAACCCCCAAAGTTATGCTTTAAAAGACTCTTTAAATTAACATTTTAATTTAGAAGTAAGTTTGACTCTTCAAATTTAGAGAGTCAAACATACTCTCTATAATAAAATGCATTCAAAATATTTCAAATTTCAATGAAGGAAAATAATATGATAATTTAGAGGGAAGCTAGTAAAAATAAAGGTAGAAAAAACAATAAATATTTTTCTGAGGTAGTAAAATTAAATGTTAAATATAAATAGTCTGTTGGAATACTTAAAAATTCTCTAAATCATATAATATACTTTTTAAAAATATAGAGCTTGTTGAAAATGCTCTAACACCGATATCTTTAACCTTTTAGTAATAATAGAATGTTATGTCGGACATTAGCACGTGAGGAGATGCAAGTCGGTCTCTAACTTACGAAAGAAGCAAATAGATCCTCAGTCAAATATAAGGTCGATGATCAATTTGTTACTTTTTATTGATTGGTGATCAACTTACAAATTGAACAATAAGTTGAGGACAGATAATGCAATTTTCACTTCAAATATAAGAATTTCTATTTATTTACATGTTTTGCAAATGTTTGATTATTTATGCAATTATTCACTTAGTATAAATTAATTTAATAGCAAGCGACGTAAATGAAAACTTTTTGGTGCAAATAAATTTGTTGCCACCATTGCTAAGTCCAGTACGAAATTTGTGGCCACGAATGCCTAAGGGACAAATTATCAACAAAGTTAGTAAGTTTTTTAATTAAGATACTAGTAACTATCTTATCTTAACACACAATTATCGAATCATAAGAAAAATCAGAAAATATTTTTGCAGCCAAAATTTAATAAGATTGAAATAAGGGTTGGTATTTTATTTTATCAAAGGTATAATATCTAAAATAAGTTGGTATTTATTTTATTTGAGGGTTGGCCAATTGAAGCTTTATTAAATTTTATAAGCTGAATGGGTGCAACTGTGAAAATGAGGAGTTAGAGGATGTCAGTTGGGTGGTTCAATGAGATAGAGGGAAGGGACTGACAATCCACATTCTTTCTACCTGCAAATTGCCAGTCATTCAATCGTCTACGAATTGATCCATAACTGGACCATGCATTCTTGATTTTACATTACATCTTTTATATATATATTTTTCCTTTTTCAGCTACTCCATGCATCATCACGCTACATGTACGTTGAGGATCGGATGTGGTCGAGATTCTAACATGTGGGTAAGATGTTCAATCGATTTCTCATAATCTCTTCTTCTTC